CTAGCTTGTTGGGACACAAAGTTTCTCTTCAGTTGCAAACTCGACTCCATACATATATATATGGAGGGACAATCTCCAAATCAGTTTTAAAATGAAAACTGCAAGAACATCAAACCGGTACTAGCAATCACAATCAGAAACATGAGTGATTGTTTCCCCTGCAACAAATTCCCCTTGTGCTAGATGAAACAAAGGCTCTCCACATGCTCATTTCAGAGACTGAACCGTGTGTGAAAGCCTTCGTTCACCTAGCTTGTTGGGAACACAAAGATATTCTTCAGTTGTAATCTCCACTCCATAAATATATATGGGTAGGTACAAGCTCCAAATAGGTTTTACAGTGCAAACTGTAGAAACTTCTAAGCCACATTAGGAAACACACTGAGATCCCAGAGGGAATGTTTTTCCTGCAACCCTTTCTCTTTGTGTTAGATGAACGAACGTCTCTCCACATGCTCAGTTCTGAGAATTAAGCGTGTGTGAAAGCCTTCCTTCACATAGCTTGTTGGGAACACAAAGTTTCTCTTCAGTTGCAAACTCCACTCCATACATATATGGGGAAGTACAGGCTCCAAGTCGGTTTTACAGTGATAACTGCTGGAAAATCAAACCGGCACTAGGAAACACACTGAGAAACCTGAGTGAGTGTTTCTCCTGTAACCCATTCCTTTTGTGCTAGATTTACGAAAGTTCTCGACATAATCCGTTCTGAGAGAAAAGCGTTTGTGAAAGCCGTCCTTCACGTAGCTTGTTGGGAACACAAAGTTTCTCTTCATTTGCCAACACCACTCCATACATATATATGGGTAGGTTCAAGCTCCAGGTCCGTTTTATAGTGAAAAATGCAGGAATTTCAAACCGGCACTAGGAAACACACTGAGAACCCAGAGTGAGGGTTTCTCCTACAACCCGTTCCCTATGTGCTAGACGAACGAACGTTCTCCACATGATCCATTCTGAGAAAAAAGCGTTTGTGAAATCCGTCCTTCATGTAGATTGTTGGGAACACAAAGTTTCTCTTCAGTTGAAAACTCCACTCCATACATATATATGGGTAGGTTCAAGCTCCAAGTCGGTTTTACAGTGAAAACTGCAGGAACTTCAAACCGGCACTAGGAAACACACTGAGAAACCAGAATGAGTGTTTCTCCTGCAACCAGTTCCGTTTGTGCTATGTGAACGAACGTCTCTCCACATGCGCTGTTCTGAGAGATAAGCATGTGTGAAAGCCAGCCTTCTCCTAGCTTGTTGGGAACACAAAGTTTCTCTTCAGTTGCAAACTCCACTACATATGTATATGGGGAGGTACAGGCTCCAAGTCGCTTTTACAGTGAAAACTGCTGGAACTTCAAACCGGCACTAGGAAACACACTGAGAAACCTGAGTGAGTGTTTCTCCTGCAACCAGTTCCCTTTGTGCTAGATGAACGAACGTCTCTCCAAACACTCACTTCTCATAGCTAAGCTTGTGTGAAAGCCTTACTTCACATTGATTGTTGGGAACACAAAGTTTCTCTTCAGTTGCAAACTCCACTCCATGTATATATGGGGAGGGACAAGCTCCAAGTCGGTTTTACAATGAAAACTGCAGGAACTTCAAACCGGCCATAGGAAACAAACTGAGAAACAGAGTGAGTGTTTCTCCTATAACTCGTTCCCTTTGTGCTAGATGAACCAACGTCGCTCAACACGCTCAGTTCTGAGAGTTAAATGAGTGTGAGAGCCGTCCTTCACATTGCTTCTTTTGTACAAAAAGTTTCTCTTCAGTTGCATACTCCACTCCATACATATATATGGGGAGGTACAATCTCAAAGTTGGATTTACAGTGAAAACTACAGGAACTTCAAAACGGCACTAGGAAACACACTGAGAAAACAGAATGAGTGTTTCCCCTGCAACCAGTTCCCCTTTTGCTTGATGAAATAAAGTCTCTCCACATGCTCAATTCATAGAATTAAGCGTGTGTGAAAGCCTCCCTTCACCTAGCTTGTTGGGAACACAAAGCTATACTTCAGTTGAAATTCTCCACTCCATACATATATATGGGGAGGAACAAGCTCCAACTAGGTTATACAATGAAACCTGCAGAATATTCTAAGCCGCATTAGGAAACACACTGAGATCCCAGAGTGAATGTTTCCCCTGCAACCGATTCCCTTTGTGCTAGATGAACGAACGTTCTCCACATGATCCGTTCGAAAGAAAAGCGTTTGTGAAAGCCGTCCTTCATATAGCTTGTTGGAAACCCAAAGTTTGTCTTCCGTTGCATACTCCACTCCATACATATATATGGGGAGGTACAATCTCAAAGTTGGATTTACAGTGAAAACTGCAGGAACTTCAAACCGCCACTAGGAATCACACAGAGAAACCAGAGTGAGTGTTTCCCCTGCAACAAGTTCCCCTTTTGCTTGATGAAACAACGTCTCTTCACACGCTCAGTTCTGAGAGTTAAGAATGTGTGAAAGCCGTCCTTCACCTAGCTTGTTGGGAACACAAAGTTTCTCTTTAGTTACAAACTCCATTCCATACATATATACGCGGAGGTAAAAGTTCCAAGACGTTTTGACAGTGAAAATTGCAGGAACTTCAAACCGGCACTATTAAACACACTGAAAAATCAGAGTGAGTGTTTACCTTGCAACCCGTCCCCTTTGTACTAGATAAACGAACGTCTCTCCACATGCTCAGTTCTGAGTGTTAAGCGTGTGTGAAAGCCTTCCTTCACCTAGCTTGTTGGGAACACAAAGTTTCTCTCCAGGTGTATACTCCAATCCATACATATATATGGGGATATACAAGCTCCAAGCCGTTTTTACAGTGAAAACTGCAGGAACTTCAAAACGGCACTAGGAAACACACAAGAACACAGAGTGTGTGTTTCTCCTACATCCCGTTCCCTTTGTGCTTGATGAACCAACGTTTCTCCACACGCACTGTTCTGTGAGTTAAACGAGTGTGAAAGACGTCCTTCACCTAGCTTGTTTTGTATACAAAGTTTCTCTTCAGTTGCATACTCCACTCCATACATATATATGGGGAGGTACAAACTCAAATTCGTATTTACAGTGAAAACTACAGGAACTTCAAAACAGCACTAGGAAACACACTGAGAAAAAAGAGTGAGTGTTTCCCCTGCAAACAGTTCCCTTTTGCTTGGTGAAATAAAGTCTCTCCACATGCTCAATTCATAGAATTAAGCGTGTGTGAACGCCTCCCTTCAACTAGCTTGTTGGGAACACAAAGGTATACTTCAGTTGCAATATCCACTCCATAAATATATATGGGGAGGTACAAGCTCCAACTAGGATTTACTGTGAAAACTGCAGAATATTCAAAGCCGCATTAGGAAACACACTGAGATCCCAGAGTGAATGTTTCCCCTGCAAACCATTCCCTTTCTGCTAGATGAACGAACGTATCTCCACACGCTCAGATCTGACAGTTAAGTATGTGTGAATGCCGTTCTTCACCTTGCTTTTTGGGAACACAAAAATTTTTTGTTCGGTTTTAAACTCCACTGCATACATATATGTGGGGAGGTACAAGCTCCAAGGCGGTTTTACAGTGAATTCTGCAGGAACTTCAAACCGGTACTATTTAACACACTGAAAAACCAGAGTGAGTGTTTCCCCTGCATCCCGTTACCTTTCTGCTAGATGAAGGAACGTCTCTCCACATGCTCAGTTCTGGGTGTCAATCGTGTGTGAAAGCCGTCCTTCACCTAGCTAGTTGGGAACACAAAGTTTCTCTTCAGTTGCAGTCTCCACTGCATACATATATATGGGGAGGAACAAGCTCCAACTAGGATTTACAGTGAAACCTGCAGAATTTTCTAAGCCGCAAGGAAACACACTGAGATCCCAGAGTGAATGTTTCCCCTTCAACACATTCCCTTTGTGCTAGATGAACGAAAGTTCTCCACATGATCCGTTCTGAGAGAAAAGCGTTTGTGAAAGCCGTCCTTCATGTAGCTTGTTGGGAACACAAAGTTTCTCTTCAGTTGATAACTCCACTCCATACATATATATGGGTAGGTTCAAGCTCCAAGTCGGTTTTACAGTGAAAACTGCAGGAACTTCAAACCGGCCCTAGGAAACACAATGAGAAACCAGAGAGAGTGTTTCTCCTACAACCCGCTACCATAGTGCTAGATGAATGAACGTCTCTCCACCATGCTCAGTCTGAGAGGTAAGCGTGTTTGAAATCCGTCCTTCACCTAGCTTGTTGGGAACAAATGTTTCTCTTCAGTTGCAAACTCCACTCCATACATATATATGGGGAGGGACAAGCTCCAAGTCGGGTTTACAGTGAAAATTGCAGGAACTTCTAACCGGCACTAGGAAACACACTGAGAAACCAGAGTGAGTGTTTCTCCTGCAACCAGTTCATTTTCTGCTAGATGAATGAACGGCTCACCATACGCTATGTTCTGAGAGACAAGCGTGTGTGAAAGCCGTTCTTCACCTAGCTTGTTGAGAACATCAATTTTCTCTTCAGTTGAAATCTTCACTCCATACATATATATGGGGAGGTATAATGTCCAAGACTGTTCTACAGTGTAAACTGCAGGAACCTCAAACCGGCACTAGGAAACACACGGAGAAGCCAGAGTGAGTGTTTCGCCTGTAACCCGTTCTGTTTGTGCTAGATGAACGAATGTCTCTCAACATCCTCAGTTCTGAGAGTTAGGCATGTGTGAATGTCGTCCTTCACCTAGCTTGTTGCGAACACAAAGTTTCTCTTCAGTTGCCAACTCCAATCCATACATATATATGGGGAGGTTCAAGCTCCAAGTCGGTTTTACAGTGAAAAGAGCAGGAACTTCAAACCGGCACTAGGAAACACACTTAGGAACCAGAGTGAGTGTTTTGCCTGCAACCATTTTCCTTTCTGCTAGATGAACGAACGTCTCTCCACATGCTCAGTTCTGCGATTTAAGCGTGTGTGAAAGCCGTCCTTCACCTAGCTTGTTGGGAACACAAAGTTTCTCTTCAGTTGCAAACTCCACTCCATACATATATATGGGGAGATACAAGTTCCAAGTCGGTTTTACTGTGAAAATTGCAGGAACTTCAAACCGGCACTAGGAAACACACTAAGAAACCACAGTGAGTGTTTCTCCTGCAACCCGTTCCCTTTGTGCTAGATGAATGGAACTCTCTCTACATGCTCAATTCTGAGAGTTAAGCATGTGTGAAAGCCTTCCTTCACCTAGCTTGTTGGGAACACAATGTTTCTCTTTAGTTGCAAACTCCATTCCATACATATATATGTTAAGGGATAAGCTCTAAGTCGGTTTTACAGTTAAAACTGCTGGAACATCAAACCGGCACTAGGAAACTCACTGAGAAACGAGAGTGAGTGTTTCCCCTGCAACCACTTCATTTTCTGCTAGATGAACGAACGGCTCACCACAAGATCTGTTCTGAGAGAAAAGCATGTATGAAAGCCGTTCTTCACTTAGCTTGTTGAGAACATAAAGTTTCTCTTCAATTGAAATCTTCACTCCCAACATATATATGGGGAGGTAAACGGTCCAAGAAGGTTTTACAGTGTAAACTGTAGTAACCTCAAACCGGCACTAGGAAACACATGGAGAATCCAGAGTGAGTGTTTCGCCTGTTACCCGTTCCATTTGTGCTAGATGAACGAAAGTCTCTCAACATCGTCAGTTCTGAGAGTTAGGCATGTGTGAAATCCGTCCTTTACCTAGCTTGTAGGGAAAACAAAGTTTCTCTTCAGTGGCAAACTCCAGTCCATACTTTATATATGGGGAGGTACAAACTCCAAGTCGGATTTACAGTGAAAAATGCAGGATCATCTAACCGGCACTAGATAACACACTGACATCCCAGAGTGACTGTTTCTCCTACAACCCGTTCCCTTTTTGCTAGATGAACCAACGTTTCTCCGCACGCTCTGTTCTGAGAGTTAAACGAGTGTGAATGCCGTCTTTCACCTAGCTTGTTTTGTACACAAAGTTTCTCTTCAGTTGCATACTCCACTCCATACATATATATGGGGAGGTACAAACTCAAATTAGGATTTAGAGAAAACTGTAGGAACTTCAAAACGGCACTAGGAAACACACTGAGAAACCAGAGTGAGTGTTCCTCCTGCAAACCATTCTCTTTGTGTCAGAAGAACGAACGTTCTCCACATGCTCCATTCTGAGAAAAAAGCGTTTGTGAAAGCCGTCCTTCACCTAGCTTGTTGAGAACACAAAATTTCTCTTCAGTTGCAAACACATA